AGACATACTCTCTGCCTCCATTTGCGTGGGGTATCCTCCTACCCTGAGCCAGCTGCCCTGCATCTCAACAAAGATAAAAAATGTTGGAGAAGCACAAGTCTCTAACAATATTACTAAAGACAAAGCTTGGTACTCTGTATAAGGTGCATGGATAACGTGAGAGCTCTGCATAAAGGCAGAATTCTTTAAGGAGCAATCTTTTCAGTGGATAAGGAAAGAGGGGGGAATCTGCTTTATGCAAACAGTATAAGTATTGTAAATCCCCAAAGGAGGAGGCTGTCCATCTTTCTCCTGATGGATCTGAACCATGGGAGACCCAGAGTCCTCAGGTTAGCAGCACAACATGCTACACAGACTATGCCATCAGAGCTCTAATCCATGGTATTTTCAAATTGCTTCTTGATATGCATGTGAAAGCTGGGCAATGACAGAGGAAGACTGATGTTGGACCAATGCCTTTGAATCATGGAATCTGCTAAGAAAATTAAACCAACCATGTAGTATCAAAAGAACATACACATCTGTCTTGGAAGAAATGCAACCTAGGGTGCTCCTTAAAGACAAGAATGATAAAACTTAGTCTCACATGGGCATGCAGTCAGGAGGAATGAATCCTTAGAAAAATGTATCATGCTTGTTGTTGTTGTTATGTGCCATCAAGTCGCTTGCAACTCATAGTGACCCTATGTACAACAGTCCTAAACTCTGCTCTGTCCTATGCCAATCTCACTGTCTCCGATACACCCATTCCGATTACCCCAGTCTCTAAATCAATCCACCTCATAGAGGGCCTTCCCCTCCTGTGCTGTCCCTCCACCCTACCAAGCATGATGTCCCTCTCCAAGGACTGGTCCGTCCTTACAGCATGTCTAAAGTATGTTAGACAGAGCTTCAAAATGCTTGCCTCCAAGGAGCAGCCTGGTTTAACCCTCTCCAAGATGAATCTGTTTGTTTTCTTAGCAGTCCATGGTATCCCTCAATACTCTTCTCCAGCACCACAGCAAAACATCAGCGAAAGAGAAGAAGACCCTCAATGAGAGGGACTGACATAGAGACTCCAACAATGGGCTTACACATGACAGAGATGATGATGATGGTACAGAACACTGAAAGGGCTAGATCTGTTATTGATAGGGTAACTCAATAAACGTCACCCAATAATAACACAGATGGTAAATACAGGGTAATAAAAATACAAGAAGTTCTTTTCAATAATATAAATGGAGTTTCTAGAAATTGAACTATATTTGAAATTATAAACTGAATACTCAAGTTAAACAAGAGACTGCACAAAATTAAAAAAGAATTCGGAAAATAGAAGTAAATATAAAAAAAATTATAATGCAGCAGAGGCAAAAGGGTAACTTTTGAGAGACAAGCTTACAGCGTGGAAAAATGTAACTTTAACTATCAGGTGTTCCTAAGAGAAGAAGCGATGAGAGTCAATGCTTCAAACATAATGAGAAGACACAAGTTCTCAGATTCAAAAAACTCAAACTGTATTTTAAAAAAACTATCATGAACACATCATAGTGAAAGTAAAAACACTAACTTGAGTTCTTTCAAACTGTAAGAGAAAACACAATTCCCAGAAAGAGATATGTCAGTAAGACTGAGGGCTCACCTTTCAATAAAAACTGTGAAATCCCAAGTGGAAAATCATACTACTAGTAGAATATTCTCTGTCAGTGTAGAACTCTAACCAAGTGTTAGCCAAAGGACAGTAAAAGAGAAATAATCAAAGATATACTACTAATGTACCTTTACAATTATCTGAGAAGCTGGACTCCATGAGGAGTGCGGCACCAGGGTTGGATGGAGACTCATCAATAACGTGTTATGCAGATGACACAATCTTGCTTGTTGAAAGTGAGAATGCCTTGAAGCACTGCTGCAGAAGATCAAGGAATGTAGCCTTCGGTATGGCTTGCATGTCAATGTCAGGAAAACAAAGATTCTTACCACTGGACCTTAAGGTAGTGTCATAATGGATGAAGAGGAAACCAAGACTGTCAACAGCTTCATCTTGTTTGGATCCACAATTAACACCCTTGGTACAAGCAGTCAAGAAATAAGGAGACATACTGCAATGGGATAGTGGTATTCACTGTACTTCCTTGTATGCATATGGATATTATCCTGTCGTTCACCACACTGTATTTCAGGATGGATCTAGAAATGACTTTTTTAATTATGAAACCAACTCCATTTTTTCTCACCTTTTCATCCTCAGCATAGTAAATCATATGATCATCTGATTCAAAATGTCCCATGCCAAGCCATCTCATTTCATCAATACCTAGAATGTCAATATTAATGCATTCTATTTCTTTCTTAACAATGTCCAATTTTCCTACGTTCATGCTTCTCACATTCCAATCACTAGTGTCTGCTTACAGCTGTTCTTTCTTCTCTGTATTTCCATTTCTAAGATCTCAGTCTCAATTGCCATGTCTGCTAGTCCAAGCGATAGTCTAAGTGTGCTCTAC